GATTGGGAATAAAAAAATAAAACTATCTTTATTCACAGACAACATATTTACCTATGTAGAAAACCTGATATAATTTTCATAAAAATCTAGAATTAATGAGTTCAGCAGGGTTTTAGTTTTCTTTTAAAAAAGATATGAAAGACCTGTACACCAAAAAGTACAAAACACTGCTGAGAGGGAATTTTAAAAGACCTAAATAAATATTCTGTGTTCATGTACTGGAAGATTCAATATTATTTCATCTTGTCAATTCTGTCATACTGTCAGTTCTCCCACCAAATTGACTTACAGATTCACTGCAATCTCAATTAAAATCAATTTTTTTTTTTTTTTATTATTCTTCAAACATTGATTCTAAAATTCTTATGAAAATGCAAACCATTTAGAAGAGTCAGAACGAAGCTGGAGATTCTGTACCTACTTTGAGGTAATCAAGACACTGTAGTATTGGTGTCAACATAGACATTACAACAACGCAACAAAAGATGGTCCAGAAATAAACCCACACATGTATGGACAAATGATTTTTGAGAAAGACACAAAGGCAATGCACTGGAAAAAGGGTTGGCATCTGAATAAATGGTGCTGGAACATTTGCCTCTCTATATGTTAAAAAGACAGACAGAACTTCCACCCATACTTTACGTCATGTGCAATAATTAACTTAAAATGGATCACAGACCCAAATGTAAAACCTGAACTATCATACCTGTAAAGGAAAAACTAGGAGAAAATGTTTGTGACTTCACATTAAGCAAATATTTCTTAGGTACAACACCAAAACCAAGATGCAGAAAACAAAAACATTGATAGATTAGACTATATAAAACATTTAAAACTTCAGCTTTTAAAAAGACGCTGTTAGGATGAAAAGATGAGCTAAAGACTGGAAGAAAATATCTGCAAATCATCTCTCTGATAAAAGGACATGTATTTAGGGAAAAAATACGTGTATGTGCGTGTACATATATCTGTATCCTTCTCAAAACTCAACAGTAAGAAAATAAAAAAAGGAGGGGTGGGAACATCTGAAAAGACAGATTAGCAAAGACAAAGGAGGGCAAATAAGCACATGAACAGACACTCAATGTCACTACAGAAATACAAATTAAAACCATAAACTAAGTACGTATTTTAGATATTCTAACAGATCACTATACATCCATTAGAGTATCTAAAATTAAAATGACTGCCCATACCAAATGTTAGCAAGGATGTGGAGCCAATTGGAGCTCTCATTCACTGCTGATAAATACCCAATTTTAAAATGGTACAATCACTTTTAAAAACAGTTGGGCAATTCCAGAAAGTTAATACACACCATGTTATCCAGATAGTCCACTCCTAAGTACTTACCAAAGAGAAATGAAAGCATATGTCTACACAAAGACTTTTACATGAATGTTCATAGTAACTTTTTCTGTAATAGTCAAAACCTAGCAATAACCTCAGCGTCCATCAACTAGTGAATGGATAAACAAATTATGGTCTATGTATCAATGAAATACTACTCATCAATAAAAAGCAATGATCTACTGATACACCCAACAACAAAATAATTATGCTAAGTGAAAGAAGCCAGACACCCCCCCACCCAAAAATGTGACACTGCATGATTGATTCCATTTATAGAAAATTTCTAGAAAATGTAAACTAAACTATAATGTCAGAAAGTAGATCAGTGGTTGCTTGAGGATGGGACAGAGATAGGGAGGGGCAGAAGAAAATTTTTCAAGGGATGATGGATATGTTATCTGGTTTGTGGTAGTTTCATGGGTATATCAATATGTCAAAACTTATCAAACTGTACACTTAAAACATACATAAATTTATGGTTTGTAAATTCTACCTCAATAAAGCTGTAAAAACCAAAACAATATCACCTTATACATACTTGGAAATATGTTTTAATATTCTACATTAATATTTTAAAATTTATTCTTGTTCATACATGAAGGCCAAGTTCATTACTCTGTCCTATAGGGTCTCTCTGAGTCAGAATCGACTCAAAGGCAATGGTTTTTTTGTTTTAGTATTCATTGTGTGAACATATCACAATGTATCCATTCTCTGGTGACAAATATTTAACTTTTTTTTTTTTTAAATTGGCAATTTCAAATGTTGTGAAATGTAAACACAAATCATTTGAATCAGATATGCTATGCACTATACATGTGTTATAAGAATTGTCTAAAATGTAATTTATGCAACTAAATCAATATTAGAACTGCATGGTATTGTAAAATATTTATAAAATGTCTACTTTGTGTCTGACCCTGCTAGGCATTCTGGGGATGGGGATAAGATTTAAACATTGGATGAGAACTCTGCCCACAGGGACTGACTTACATTACCCTCTGAAGAACTCCAACTAATATGCTGATAACATATGTTATTACATATGTACATATATTTCTGACCAAAAATTGAGTGAAAAAAAGACAACTGGATACTAAAAAGCTGAATACAGATTGATAGAGGGTAACAGTAGAATTTGAGCAGCCCCAAAAAATACAATGCTGAAAAAAGATAGGTAGAAATGGGGTGGAGATGAGAGACAATGTTGTCCACAGACAGAAATGGCTCCTTTAAGCTACTACACAGAGCAATTAAATATACTTACAGCTTGCGTGAATGACCTCTAGCTAGCAAGAATCAACTTAGTACTGAAGTCATTCCTGATGTTCACCCTTCAGCCAAAGATTAGACAGGCACAGAAAATAACATGAGACTAAATGGGCACACCAGCCCAGGGGCAAGGACGACAAGGCAGGAGGGGACAGGAAAGCTAGTAATAGGAAACCCAAGGTCGAGAAGGGGAGAGTGTTGACATGTTGTGGAGTTGGCAGCCAATGTCACAAAATGATATGTGTATTAATTGTTTAATGAGAAACTAATTTGCTCTGTAAACCTTCATCTAAAGTACAATTAAAAGAAAAAAAAAAAAGAACTGAGAAATTATCTTCAGTGGGGCAGCAAAGTTTCCAAGGTACATCTAAAAGGAATTACTAAATCTAGGATTCCTAATTATAACCAAAATGTTTTTAACTGGACAAAGTGTGTGTGTGTGTGTGTGTGTGTGTGTGTGTGTGTGTGTGTGTGTGTGTATGTACAAGAAAACAACACTTGAAAGCTTATTATTATTTTGAGAAATGGTAACATGATTTTCAGGATTCAAAATTAATGGGTTATGATCTGCCAGTTTCTTAGACCACTGTCTGCTCCAATAATTCTATAACCTTACCACATTTCTCTAGGAATAGAAAAACACAACTGATGACTGCTATAGATATGTGAATAAATTTCCATTAAAGCACTTCCCGGGAACACAATTTTTATTTGTGAATAGAAAATTCAACTAAGTTCTAAGGTCAGATAGTCATCTTTTTATATTACTGTTTAGCCAAATCCACACAAGAAAAAAAAAAACAACTTCACTGACTGTGTCATCTGTACAAATAAACCAGGGGGATAATATGTAAATATTTTCTATGTAAGCATAAGCAATAGATAATAACAGCTATGAGAGAAATGAGGCTTTTATTCAGGCACAGGAATGTCAATCATTTAAAAATATTTAGGCAGCTGCACAATGGGGGGGGGGCACAGCAGCAATAATTCAGACTGTATTCTTTGTGAATGATGCTAATAGCAGTCCTAACAAGAGAAACTATAAGAGTAACTCACTTGTATTTGTAGCCCTATTATAAAAACTGAATTTTTATAATTAAAAATATTTTTGATTTAAGAAGAAATACAATATATCACACATTCAATATAAAACTATTCCCAAGTGAAGTCATTTTGGGTGGGAAGCAAGCATTACAAAGGGGCACAGGGAAGCTGTTAGTGATAGATACATTTATTATCCTGATTGTGGTGATGGTTTCATAGATGTTTAAGTATGCCAAAACCTATCAAATTGTACACTTGTGCAATTTATTATATATCAATTATGCCTCAATAAAGCTGCTTTCCTTTCTTTTAAATAAAATGAAAACGTTGGAGAAGCCTAATTCTGCAAAGCCAACCAAGACACAATCAAACTATAGTCGTGACACAGTAGTTAACACTTTAAATATCTACATTTCCTGAAATTATTGTGGGTGTGTAATGTAATGTTTAAAGATTCATCTGATGTTGCCAAATTGCGAAGGAATAATTTCATCCACACTATCCTTTTAAGGAAAGAAGCAATAACATTTCATCAAAACTTAAGCAGGAAACTGAAATTTGGAAGAAAGCCCTTTAGCTGATAAAATGCTAATTAAAATATATTTCACTTTAACCATAAATACCATTATTAATTTTATTTAACAGCTGTCTTTGAAATGTTCATTAAAAAGATTCCTTTTCTAATCTAAGTGACTCATAATTTTTAAAGTAGGCTATCTACACTTTTGAAGTTTCAATTACTGATTCAGTCATGCTTTCAGAGGCTATATATAAGGCACTAATGGAGCCCTGGTGGCACAGTGGTTAAGAGCTTGGCTGCTAACCAAAAGGTCAGCAGTTCAAATTCACCAGCTGCTCCTTGAAACCCTACGGGGCAGTTCTACGCTGTTGCTGTCGTATCGGGTCGCTATGAGTGACAGCAAATGGTAATGGGGAATGGTGAGAAAGGAATGGAAAGCAATGTGAGATTTGACTTACCGTCAAGTACCTTAACGTTTAAAGGATACAGATTTAAATATTAAAAAAAAAAACAAAACTCCTCGCCATCAAATCAAATACGACTCATAATGACCCTACAGGATAGAAAAGAACTGCCCCATAGAGTTTCCAAGACTGTAATTTTTACAGAAACAGACTGCTACATCTTTCTCCTATGGAGTGGCTGGTGGGTTCAAACTGCTGACCTTTCAGTTAGCAGCAGAGTGTTTAACCACTTCATTATCAGAGCTCCTTAAAAGACTCAGACTCATACCAATAAGAAAATACTGCTAAGAAAAATGCTGTAAAGATCAAATATTATTCATCTTAAATAGTCATTTACTTACATCTTAGCACTTCAACAATCAAATCCACATCAGTGCTGAGTTTCTTGATATGGTCAAGGTTTGCTACCGTTGTAATTGGCACATACTGATCACTATCCATCTGTGATATAAGGTACATATCACTAGCAAGATTCTCCCTGTTGAAATAAAAGACTTTCTTTTAATCAATACTTCTTTAAAAGGAAGACTTACCTATAGCAATATTAGCTTGGCATGGTATGGCTTTGGAGTTAGATTAGATCTGAGTTCAAATGCCATGTTATTTACTACCTCTGTGACCTCAGGTAAATTTTTTTCAGAATATGGCAAGGCAGACAAAGCAAAAGTGAAAGTATATTATACTTTATACAATTAAAATTAATGAGTAAATAATTATTTTTTAAAATGTAGTTACTTATAAGTTATCTTTGTTCTAAGAAATATTTGAGTAGCTTATTAATTTTTAAGTACTAAAGAAATCCAGCTGAATGAACAAGAAAGGCCAGGGACAAGGCTGATACCCAAAATTCATGCTGTACAGTCTGGAACACTTGCTACGGAGGCTGCAAATCTAACTCCACACTTCCTAACAACTAGCATTAAAAAGAAGGAAAAATGATCAATAACATTACCCACGGGGTTATAAAATAAGCCAAAAATAATCAGTAGTTTAGGTGAATATTAGCTATTTCCTGGTGTTCTGCCCTAAGATGTTTCTTGTGAGTTCTCATAAAAAAGACAATGTGTGATGTAGTGAACAAGGTTCTCAAAAACATCTCAAAACTGGATACAATAATGGGTTTCATAGGACTTCTTCTTACAATGTCCCTCAATCTTAAAGTTCAACAGAAGTAATTATTTGCAGAGTGAAACGCTGTTCTGTTCCCCTCATCTCGGCTAGTCGTCTCTCATATGAGGTGATTCTGGCCATACAAGGGATAGATAAGGGTTTGTAAATGGTGTAGGGCTACATTTTTCAACTTATCAACAGAATCTTTCACTTCTTAAGGAATGTCAATATACAATATATTAATTTGTGAATAAATATGAAAATGGAAGGAAGACCCAGAGCATGGTCCCTCACCTCCAACCTCATGCAACCCCACTATCTTTGAGGCAGTCCTCAACAGATACCTCTGTGAAATCTTAAGGACTCCAGAGAAAACACTGAAAAAAATATCATTATTGATAGAAAGGTTTAACCATAGCCAATCAGTGACGTATTTGTTATCTTCATACTCAAAGAAAATTACATTTAACGCAAGCCAATCTTTTTCGTATGTCCAGTTTTGATGTCCGAACTTTAAAGGTTCTACTATATTTTTCAAGAAAAGTAGTATTATTCAGGGGGGAAAAAAAAAAAAAGCCAAGAATAATGGGTATTATAACAAGTAGTTATAAGTAAAACGATCTGCTATTGCAGTTGTTTGGCATATTTTGAGAAAGAGTATAGGAAAATTGTTCTCAAACTTTAGTGTGCTAAAAAAGAATTTCTTTTTAAGATTGAAGATTCTAAAGTCCTTACCCTCAGAGATTCTGAGTCAGTAGGTAAAGGGTGGTGGTCCAGGAATCTGTATTTCAAAAAGTAATCCAGATAATAGTCAAGATGAATTTATAGACTCAACTTTGGGGAACACTGACCTAGAGGACTGTGTTCAGTTCTCCAACACGTCAAAAGGTTATTACTTAAAATTCTAGATTTCTTAATTGATGTACACTCTTTTCCTTCCATGCAAAATGCCACGTTCATATAAAATAACTAATACATAACACCATAGATACTAGGTGCTAGAAAACCCACTATCATTCTTACCTAGATAAGCAGAATTCCAATGTTTTTTTAAGCACTTCTCTGGGGTCTTCTTGGCTTTCGGGTTGAGACTCATTTCCTCCTATATAAGAATAATGATCAACTCAGAAAAAAGAGCTTCAAATTCACCAAGTTGATGTTTCAGTACAGCGATTCTAATGCTTTCAATATATATGTATATCTATATACTTTATATATAGAGATATATATATAAAAATACACTTACATAAGTACACAGGGGCTATATAAAAAATGCTATCGTTTTACTACTAAAGAAATCACAGGCAAAAAACAAAACACAAACCATCCCACACACAAAAAAACAAACTTTAGAAAAATAATCTGAGAAGTAAGTTTTATTAGTAAAATTTAGAAGGGATTTTTTATCTCAAAATAACAGGTATAATAAGCTTATTTAATGCCTTGCCTCACTTCACAAAGATTTTCAGGTAGCCTATAAAAATACAAACACTAGGACAATAAACAAAATATCAGTGAAAGAATCAAAACAAGGAAACGCTACAGGCAAAAAAATCAGGATTGGGGACCAAGAGACAAGCTATAAACATTTATATACTTTCCACAGTAGAGTCTTACATTTGCCTCTAAATCTCCCAGTAGTCAAAGCAACAACTGAGAAATTGCCAAGTTAAAGAGTTCTTATCTGAGAATAAGTACTAAATAAACCAGATCATCAAGGGGAAACAAAAGCTAATGTTAAATTCTAAAAGAAATTTCTCAGATGAAGACACTGTATGGTATGGTGGATGATGGTCCTCATTAATTTACATAAATGTACTTACAAGATGCAGATGATTTACATGTAACAAATATGTAACGGACCTGGTGCCTTCTAATAAAGTGAACTAGAGTTTATGTTAAGCACCCTACTCCCTAAAAAAAAAATCACTTTGGTTGCTGTGTGAACAGCTATTTTAATAATGTTGAGCATCTCAATTCAAGATGGCAACAGCAGATTAAAGACACTGAAATGCTAAGAACTAAGAGGGTTCCCCCAATACCATATGCTTCTATATAAATTAGCATGGCACAACTATCCACGCAGAACTTGCTGACAAGTGGCACATACCGTAAAAGTCAAAGTTAAAAAAAAAAAATCAAAAGGCAAAGACAAAGTGGGAGCAAACAAAGACAAGAGAGGTCATGTCTCTATTGTAAAAGGCTTTAACAATATTTACCCTTATCCCCCCCACCCTGACATGCCTGGCAAACAAAACAACCAATAAACAATACAAAACAAACAAAATCAATGGGACTTGATGGGGACTGAAAATTAGAAATGGCCCTTGAAAAAAAACACTCTATGTAACCTATGTCACTGAACAATTTGTGTAGAAATTGTTAAATGGGATCTAAACTGCTGTGTAAATCTTCACCAAAAACACAATAAAATACTATTTAAACACAAAAACAAAAAAATATATCCACACAACAAGTTACATGTGAATGTTCATCGTAGCATTATTAATAATAGCCAAAAAAGTGGAAATAATTCAAATGTCCATCAATTGATGAACAGATAAATAAAATGCAATGTAACCATGCAGTGGAAAAGTAAAAACCAGTTGCCATCAAGTTGCTCCAACTCAAGATGACCCTACATGTGTCAGGATAGGACTGTGCGCTATACGCTGCTAATGGCTGATTTTTTGAAAGTAGATCACCCGGCCTTTCTTTCAAGGAGCTTCTGGGTGGACGCAAACCTCCAATTTTTGGGTTTGCAGCTGAGTGCATTAACTGTTTACCCCACCCAGGGACTCCAGCGGAATACTAAAAACCAAACCCACTGCCACTGAGTTGATTTCGACTCAGAGTGACCCTACAGGACAGAATAGAACTGCCCCACAGGGTTTCCAAAGCTGTAAACCTTTACAGAAGCAGACTGTTACATCTTTCTCCCATGGAGTGGCTGTGGTTTAGAACCACCAACCTTCTGGTTAGCATCCGAGCACTTTACCCACTGTGCCACCAGGTCTCCTTAGTGGAATACTACTGGGCTATGAAAAATAAATGAAGTACTGATACATGCTACATCATGGGTGAAACTTGAAAACATCATGCTGAGTGAAAGAAGCCAGACACACAAAAGGCCACATATTGTATGATTCTGTTTACATGAAATGTTCAGAATCTACAGAGAGGGAAAGTAGATCAGTGGTTGTCTAGACCTCAGGGGAAATGGGGAGTCACTGTTAATGGGTAAGGTATTTCTTTTGGGAGGATGATGAAAAAGTTCTAAAATTGATTGTGATGATGTTTGCACACTTTTGTGAATATACTAAAAACTTAATATAACTATTCACTTTAAACGGGTGAATTGCATGGCTTATGAATTATATCTCAGTAAAGCTGTTACAATAAAAAAAAAAAAAGACTTAATTCCTTCATCCAGAAAGGCCTCTCCTAATCACCCCAGTTAAATTCACATCCTGCCCCATCAACATGTAATAGGTATTTACTAAGCAGGCACTGTTAATTCAGCCTACTAAGGCAAAGTCTCTGCTTGCATGAGGCTAACGCTCTAGTGGGAGAAGCAGTTAATAAAGAGTTAAATAAACATAAAATGTCAGATAAAAACTGATAAAAAGGAAAATAAAATAAGGTAAAGGGAATAGAGTGCATGGTTTTTAGATGAGATGGTCAGAGAAAGTCTTGCTAAGGAGCAGAGATTAAGAAACAATAAGGAGGCCAGTATAGCTGAGAAGAGTGACTGAAGGGGAAAGTAGTAAGAAATGAGGCCACAGAGGCAGGGGAGAGAAGGAGAGTAGTGATGGTGGATCAGATCAAGTAGGGCCCTGCAGACTACAGTAAAGATATTAGAATCTTAACCTAAACGTGACAGGAAATTGATTCGGAGTTGAGAGCTAGGGACTATACGACGTAATTTACATTTCGGAACTGTCTGTCTGGTTCCATGTTGCAAAAGACTGTGATGCCACAAGAGGGAAGTAGTGAGACCACTCAGGAAGGTAACACAACAATGTAAAATCATTTGGACTCTTCAAAGGTACAGGTGGCATTTAAAGCAACGTGACTTGATGAGAACCATCTATAGAAGAATGTATAGGTAGAGAGAAGAGGCCTAGGACTGAACCCTGACGTTCAGGGTAAGGAAGAGGAAAACGAAAACTGAGAAGGCACAGCCAGTGAGATGGGAAGATATCAGCAGAAGGTGAAGTCAGAAGCCAAGAGAAGACAGTGTTTCACAGTGGAGGAAATCATCAACTAAAAAATCCTACAGTAAGATCAGATAAGGTGAGAACTGGGAATTAACTGCTAGATCTGGCAACACTAAGGTCACTAAAGACCTGGACAAATGCAGTTTTGGTGACAGGTGAAGACAAAACCTATCTGGATTGGACCCAAGAAAGAACAGGAGTTGAGGAAATGGAGACAGCTAGTACGGACAACTTTTCTGAACAGTTTTGCTGGAGGAAGATATGTTGTCAAGGGAGTTTCATTTAAGATGAGAGATGATACAGCATTAGTATGATAGTGGCAATGATCCAGCAAAGAAAAAATTCACAATACAATAGATAAAGGGGATGATGAAGCGGAGACATTGAGAATGTAACAGAGGACAGGATCCAGCGCAGAGCGGAAAGATTTCACTAGCACATGGATTGCTAGATTTTGTAGTGCTAGGGTGAGAAAGTTCTCTTCTGATAGCTTCAGTTTTTAAGTTAAATAAGCCATGATGGGAGTAATAGACACTGAATTTATCTTCCCTTTTAAAACAACCAAAAAACTAATAAAACAGAATAAACAACAGTTTTTCAAAACACAGGGCATCAGGCAACAAAGAACAGTGGTCCCCGAGTGGTAGGAAACTTATGAGGTAAGCCTTACAACTGCCCCAGCTTACCAGGCTGGGAGAAGTTCCAGGTGACTGTTGCAGAGGGTAGGGACACAGGTGGAACCCAAGAGACAAAGATAACCATGCAGAGAGATCAAAGTGGTTAGAGTGTATAGGACAGAGTACACAGAAAAGAGCTACAAAGAGCAAGAACTCTAGAGAGTTGCAGAAGATTTCCCCGTCAAGTAGTCAGCTGAATTCTGATCTATCTGAAAGGATTACAGGTAACAGTGTACATCACTCACACAGGGGCAGAAACTGCCTGTTTCCACCAGCTGGCCTGGGAAACCTTGTGACTCACAGAGCAATGGGCACAATGGGCAGAGTGCAGAGAAGGGTTTGCCTCAGTGGTGGGGAATAATTAGACCTAGACTGAGCACTGCTCCACTCATGTCTAAAAACCTTACAAGCAAGATCTGAAAGGCTTACATTGTTTCCAAGTAACTTAACTGCATCCCAGAACAAAGACCAAAATATTTATGGAAATACAAAAATACTAAGCACTCAACAAAGTAAAATTCAATCCAATGAAAAATTACCATGCACGGTAAGAATCAGGAAAACATGATACATTATGAAGAGAAATATCAATCAACAGAAACCAAAGCTCAGTTGACAAAGCGTGTTAAAATTAACTGACAAGGGCATGAAAACAATTATCATAACTGCATCCCATATGTCCAAAAAGTTAGGTAGAGACATGAAAAATATAAAAAAAGACCCAAATACAACTTCTGGAGATGAAAACCATGTCTGAAATTAAAATACACTTGATGGAATCAATGACATATTAGACGCTGTAGAAGACTAATGAACTTGAAGAACTTTTCTAAAATGAAACACAGAGAGAAATAAGAATCTCCTCTCCCTACGCCAAAAAAAAAAAAAAAAAAAAAAGCCCAACAGAAAATGTAGTGCATACACATAATGGAATATTATTCAGCCATTAAGAGAAATGAAGTTCTAATACACAATACAATATAGATGAACCTTGAAAATATTACACTACGTGAAATAAGTCAACCACAAAAAGACAAATGTTGTATGATCCATTTCTATGAAATATCTAGAAGAGGCAAGTACATAGAGACAAAAGTTTATTAGTGGTTACCAGGGGCTAGGAAGAGGGAGGAATGGGAAATTATTGCTTAATGGGTACTAAGTTTGTGTCTGGGGTGATAAAAAACTTTCAAAAATAGTGGTGATGGTTGTACAACATGGTGAATGTAATTGATTAATGTCTCTGAACTGTACACTTAAAAATGGTTAAAATGGCAAATTTATATATTTTACCACAGTAAAACTATTAAAAAACAAAAACAAGATAGGCAGAGGATCAGTGAGCTGTGGGACAACTTCGGGTGCCCTAATATAGGTGCAACTAGAGACCCTGTTTAGGAGCCCTGGTGATGCAATGGTTAAGCACTTGGCTGCTAACCAAAACGTTAGCAGTTTGAACCTACCAGCTGCTTTTCAGGAGAAAGGACTGGCGATCTGTTTCTGTAAAGATGACAGCCTTGGAGACACTATGGGGCAGTTCTACTCTGTCCTATAGGGTCCCTATGACTTGGAATCGACAGCACACAACAACAACAGAGACCCTGAAGGAGAAGAACACGGGGGGGGGGGGGGAGGATGTGAGGAGATGATTAATAGAACTTGTTTTATTTGTTCTCAGATTTTCTTTCCTCCAAGCCATTCTTTCACACACCTTCAAAATTTATCTTTCCCAAATACCTCACTTTCTTCAAGTCACTCACTCCCTACAGGGGCAGTCTGAAATCCTCACAGCTTCCAAGACTCTCAAATTTGGCCTCAACTATTCTTATCTGTCACTACACTGCCCTTTTAAATCCCTCACTTTATCCAAATTATCTTACTCTCAATTACAACATTAACATTTTCATCTCTGTACTAACACAATTCACTCTACAAATGATCTTCTGCTTCTCCTGGTTAAATCTTACTTATCTTTAGGAACTACTCAAGCCTTACACTCTTTATAATGCCCTCCCTGATCAGAGCCTGAAGGATTCTTCTCCCCTCCCTCTCACCTCTGCATCCATGTAAGAGTGAGTTTAAGGCAGAAGGAAGCAATTAAGAGGCATACTGTTTAGGGAAAGAGTTAATAAGCTAAATCAACAAAAGTAAACTCCATACTCTATATGAAAATGAATCCATAAAACAGCTTTACCCATTTCACTATTTTCAGGCAGAGATTCATATTCTGAGTGATCCAGAGCCAAAGTGTTCATATCTGCTTGGTCTGACTCCTGTAAATCTGGTAATGCTGCATTCTCATGGCTTTTGTCACCATCGCCATTGCCATCCAATCCTACAATTAGAAATTATATAACAAAAAGTCAGAGACAGAATAAATTTTACTTTTTAAAAAAATGCTTATACTTGTAGTTACTTGAATGTTTTAATCATTTGTAAAAAACTTCCTGGCCCTTAAGTACTGTCACAAACCATGACACAAAATTTTATTTATTATTTACTGGCCTGACAGAGACTGCAGAAACCCCGAGAGTAGGCCCCTGGACACCCTTTTAGCTCAGTAATGAAGTAAGTCACTCCCGAAGTTCACCGGAGATTAGACAGCCCCATAAAACAAAATGAGGCTAATGGGGCACAACAGTCCAGGGACAAGGACTAGAAGTAAGTAGGGGACAGGAAAACTGGTAACAGGGAACCCAAGGTTGAGGAGGGACAGTGTTGACATGTTGTGAGGTTGTTAACCATTGTCATAAAACAATGTGTACTATTTAATGAGAAACTATTTTTGTTCTATAAATCTCACCTAACGTACCATAAAAAAATTTTTTTTTAAAATTATTTCTTAAAGTTGGATTAATGTTAAAGACAAATACTTCTGAAGCAAAGATGCTCCTAATCAGTGATTCATATTCAAAACTTACCCTCTTTGCAGCAGTCTGGAGGATGGTCAGATATTTCTTCCCAAGTTTTATTCACACTGCCATCACTTGTACTACTTGCTTCCAAATGTAGCACATGATTCCCCCATACTTTTGCATTAGGGTTTAGCTCTGAAACCTTGGTTGTTGGAGCCTAGAAAAAGAATATGATATCTATATATTTACATTCAAATTTCAAGCAAATGCAATTTCACTTATTAAAGCAGACTTAAAATGCACCTATGTTAAGATAATTTAGACTGAAAAAGCTAAGCCTACCTATTTACACATACCTTTGGGATGAAATTAAGATTCAAAAGTAACGGGAGTCGTTATTCATTCAGAACTCAGTTTAATTCGCCATTATATTCTTAAATTCTTACTATGTACAGAGCTCTCTGAAAGCTGGGTAAGACAAGACACAGGGTCCCTGCCCTTAAGAGATTTCAGTATCTTACAAACTGTATAATTACTAAATAACTGGTGAATTAATTATCTTTTTCCCAGACCACCTAATAAAATCACAATTCACAGATTTACGAATTTGCTGAGGACTACCACACAAATTTGAATACAATGTAGATGGATAAAGCTTTAATTATAAAGCTCCAAACATTCATAAAAGCAATGGATGTAGAAAATGAAAGTTCATCATAAAAACAAAGGTCTTCTAATAGGTCTGCCAGAGCCACTACAAGAAAGAAGGAAGCTAAAACATCTACTGAGCAAGAGCATAAAATATTTTACATTTTCAACAACAACTAGTTGCTCCCATTCCTGAAAGGGCTTTGATAACCACCTTTGAAGCTTGTTCAAAACACAAATTCCCAGTCCTACTGAATCAGAATCAGCAAGGGCAGAGACTGTGTAGTTTTAAGAAGCTCTCCAGGTAATAATTCTGATGCTGCTAGTCCAGTGTTTTGAAAGTGCTTTCAGATGGCTGAGGCTTGAGTCCAAACTCTGCTGCTTGCAGCTTTATATTTTGGGCCTAGTTACTTAACCTTTGAAAACCTCACCTGGAAAATGTATTTAATAGTTCTATCTTAAAGGGTTGCTGAAATAATACATTTAAAGCACTCAGCATGGTGCCTGGAACATATTAAGCTCTCAACAAATATTAGCTATTATTACAGTAAAGGTGTTCAGAAAGTTAGACTATGTCAATCCTCTGCTCTGCACCCTCCAAAGGCTGCCCATCTCATTCAGACTAAAAGCTAAAGTTCTTACCACGGCCAAAACCAACCTCCCAACCTCCCATGACCTTGCCACCACCACCTTCTCCCCACTATTTCTCTGACCTTGTTTATTTCCAGTTACACTGACCTCTGTACTGTTTCTAAACACACCAGGTACTTTTGCTCTTTCTGTTCCCTTTGTCTAGAACACTCTTCTGCCAGATATCCATACTGTTCCCTCCTTCACTGCCTTTGAGTATTGATGAGGTTGTTCCTTGATGTACCTTATTTAAATCCACAACAGTCCTCCTACCTACACTGATACTCCCTTTCCAGTCCACTTTGGCCCAGTATTTTTCTACCACACTGATATAACCCTGGTGTTCTTCTGCTTACAAGCCTTTAATGGCTCCCCAAGGTCTAGAGAAGTCAAATGCCTCGGTGGCAGTTACTCCCCAAACTCAAACTCCAGTTCTACCACCATAATCCTTTAGCAAACCTAACCAAATTATCTGCTTTTTCAAATGTACCATAAGCCTTCATACTACTGTACAGTCAGTTAGAGCTTCCTAACTAAGGGGCAACGGTATTGGCCACAAGTGTCCTTAACGTAGCCAAGAAGGTCCTGGAGTGTCCCCAGCCAATTGCTTCTAGCTGAGAACAGCCTCACTGGGTTACTCTAATGTGGAGTATTATTATTTTCTGTGTTCCATAATATGTGAAAAGAATTAGGAAGCACCATAATACACTATCAAGATTAAAAATTTTTAAAAGATAGAGCAGGAAGTATTTGATACAAAATCTTCCATTGAGGGTTTTCAGTAAAAAACCCATTGTGTCAAGTTGATTCTAACTCATAGCAACCCTATAGGACAGAGTAGAACTGCCCCATAGGGTTTCCAAGGCTGTAAATATTTACAGAAGCAGATTGCCACATCTTTCTTCCGCAGAGCAGGCTGGTGGGTTCGAACCACCAACCTATTGGTTAACAACTGAACACTTAACCATGGTGCCACCAGAGCTCCTTCAGTAATACATAGGGCAATAGAACAGGAAATTATACTGTGTTTAGGGAGAAAACAGATCTGATGATAAACGATGATGGTATGCTTTTCAACATGATGTACATCAGAGCTAATAAATTCAAATTAGCACAGGTGATGAGGCTTGTAATGAAAAACGTAAAACTATTTTGAAATTCAGAATAGAAGGCTGATGTAGTTAAACTACAGAATACATTAATGTGTACTTATCTGAATTTTTTTTTAAAGTATTGGTGACAGTGAAAAAAATAGGGCTTTCTCCTTCAAGAATATTATACTCAAGAAACACTGATTTCTCAATTTCCTTTCTTACATTACATTTAAACTTCCAGCTCATTTTGGCTTCTGCTTCTGCACAGTTACTTTATCTCTTTTTCTCTCCTATCCACCCACCCATCCAACAAATACTTTGTAAATGCTACGTGCCAAGCATAGTGCTAAGCAATCAGGAGATGATGGTTAACAAGACACAACCCTTGCCCTCATGGAGCAAACTGAGAGGTGCAGAAGATATTCCATATTTCATATACATTACTACCTCTGTCAGCATTCATACCTCTTCAACTTGTTCTGGCTGTCTTAAAACTCATTTCTCTATTCCCTTTCCTACTGTAATACTTCACCACCTTGTTCTTTAAAAATCACTCAAAAAGAACTGTAACTTGTTCATTTAGAAATCTTAATGGCAATCAATAAATAAGCTCAATGCACTCTTTAAAAAAAAAAAAAAGAACGACCTCCAGTTAACCAATTTATCAAATTAAGTGAAGTTCTCCATATTCTTTCTGCATAAAAAGATGTCTATACCTGATAAGGAATTCCTGGACATGCAAGTGGTTAAGCATTCAACTACTAACCAAAAGGTTGGCAATTCGAACCCAACCAAAGGCACCTTGGATTTGCTTCCAAAAGGTCACAGCCTTGAAAACCTTACGGAGTGCAGAGTTCTACTCTGCACACATGGGGTCACCATGAATTGAAATCAACTAGACAACAACTGGTTTTATACATGATAAACACTCAAGGTCTACTCTTAAATAAGCCCAACCATTTCTGGTCCTACCAGGTAAGCTATATGCTAACCATGCCTGTTGTTTGTTCCCAACTATTAATGTTACATTTGTTTCTATCATGATTTAATTAATTAAACACAAATGTGAAAATTGAATGCTTTGCAAAACCAGACAGATCAAGCCACTTAAAAAAAATCCTTTCAATCTAGGTGTGTGGGTGAGACGGACGAACTATTCTGGGTACTCCCCCTGGATCAAATAGGTTTCTGCACTCAGTGACTGCTTCACCAGTATCTGTTCCACATAAAAAGAACTGAGGGAGGTCTTAGGAAAAGGGCATGGAGTGGGGAATCCAAGGCCAGAGAAGAGAAAAGGGATCAGAGAGGTGCCCTGGACAAGCCACTGAACTGGGGGTCTGAAGAGGGGGACAGAAGCTGAGGAAGCATATATACTTTGCTAAGTAATATGGTGTTCACACAACATCCAAATCACATAACATCCTATTTCACAGAACATACTGTGGGTGTTAAGCGATGCATGACTATATACATATTTCCTCAAGGTATATACTATGTAATCAGTTTTGCTTAGTTATAAAATAATTTCTCATTTTAACTGCTCCTGGTTGCACCATAAAAGGGAGCTCTGGTGGCATAGTGGTTAAGAGCTACGGCTGCTAACCAAAAGGTTGGCAGTTCGAATCCACCAGCCGCTCCCTGGAAACCCTATGGGGCAGTTCTATTCTGGACTATAGTGTTGCTAAGAGTTGGAATTGACTCGATGGCAACAGGTGTGCCATACAAGTTACTATAAAAGTTTAAAAATTTTCAAAGCCTATGTTTTACTTCTTAACAAATGGAGCTCATTCTCCAGCCCATATTTTCTATATCAGGAATCCAAGTGGTTGGTCTCCAAGATGTGGTTAAGGGCATGGGCTCTGGTGCCACACAGCCTGGCTGTGAATCATGACTCTGCTACTAACTACCTCTGTAAGACTCTGGGCAAGCTACTTACACTTTCTGAGCTTCAGTTTCCTCACCTGCAAATTGAAGACATAGTTCCCACCTCATGAGGATTAAACGAGTTACTAGATGTACACCTGGCACACAATAAGGGCTCAAAAAGTTTTATTACCATTTTAGTTAAAAGTACTCTCAGAGACAGTAAAGAAACAGTGACAGCACTGTCTCTTGCTAAATGCTCACAGAGGTCCAGGAGAAATTAAAAGTAGCTCCTTGTTAGAGATACACTGTCGTTCTAACATATAGAATCATTTTATACTTATAACAGTAGACTAATTCAGATCCCACTTAGTTTATACACTGATCACTGATATTTAGAAGATTAGCTGACAAGTCTTAAAACATCTGTAAATTCAATTTCATTACTCCCCTGTAAATAAAAATGCATGAGAAAAAAAAAGACCTGAAAGAAATGTCACCAAAAGCATGCTTATGATTAGGTCCTTTTCAAATATTCTACAATGGGTATTAGTATTTCTATACTCAGAGAAAAAAGTAAAAACTATAAAAGGCTTTTTGGAAAACAGAGTGGAATCACAAAAGAGCTAAAAAAAAACATGGTATAACTCTCACAGTTGTCTGTCTCCCCACTGTTAGATGGGCCTATAGAGTCTTCCTCTGCAACAGCGCTCTTTAACTCTCATCCTTCTCATAGTGAAAAGGCATTCCAGCTGGTCTTTCTGATTCTAGTCCTAAACCTCTTCAATCAACCTCAAATAGCTTAATCTTTCTAAATCAACACTTCTATCATATCCCACTCAAGGACCTAAATGGTTCTAAACTGTGTGTCAAATTTAGCATAAGCATCTTTTTCTAGTTTTCAAGAATTTTCCTAATTTCACCTTGGCTTGCAGTGTAAACCACCTAGGTACTCCCATTAGACCAAATATCTTTCAATCTGTTTTTCCACCACCCCAACCACACAACCAAGTTTTTTTCTACTTCAATTGCTATTCCATCCACTTAACTGATTCCCCTTACCTCATTTACATACTATACATTCTTTAAATTCCTAACACTAGTTAACATTAATCTTTTCCATTTTTAGCACCTTTTGCAGTTAACTGTTCTTTCTCATCAATGTATTTTATATAGCTTACCGATACATATTACACATCATCCTAGAAGCTGTCTCTGAATGACATTTTGTAAGCTATGACAGCATTACATGTTTCTTCTATCATGACATTCATATTAAAGCATTACTAGAATGTATCTATATGTTTCTCACTAGCCCATAAAAAACTCTTTAACAGCAAGGACCTTGACTAATTTTGCTTACTACTGCATCGCTAATACCTAGCACAGTCCTGTTCTTAGTAGGGAGGTACTCAAAAAATAATGCTGAATGAATAAATGTTTAATAAAGTAATAATACAGAGACTACATTCTCCACTATTTGACAACTATGGAAAATTTAATGGTACAAGTGAATAGGACTCTACCCTTAAGCAATTTACTCCCTCATCGATACTTAAGCTCAGATCAAGGATTAGGAACTTCACACAATTTTAGGCAGTTAACCAATATTCAATACTCTGATGACATGGGATGGAAGAATGGAGATTTAGAATTAAGAGTTAATGATGTAACAACTAACATTTGAGAGTTTACTATGTGCCAAGCATATTCTAAATGCTTACCTATATTTAATTATAACAACCCTATGATGTAGGTATTACCTCATTTCACAAACAAGAAAACCAAGGCAGCGAAAGGTTAAGCAACTTGCCCACAAGATGATAGAAAGTAGAACTCTTGGAATCATATGGAACTCCAGCTGACAAGCAAGAACTCTAGCTTCATCTGCTTGGTAATATGAATCTTATTTTTCCACTGAAAATTTATAGTTAAGTAATGATTATTAAAACCAAACGTAGGATGACCTTAATAGTCATGTTCTGAAGCCATCTTACATAAATGGCTAACACTAGTTCTCTTTGGAGAGGAGCATTCCAAAGTTCTGAAGCTCTAAAGTAGATAGCTAAGAAACTCTTCTACCCTCCAAAGGCTATGCTCCACGTTTTTTAAAGCTTATCAATTCATAATTTTGTATTTTCTGGGCATGGGATCCCACTGAAAAGTTACTGAGTAGGCACCAGAGTAACTAGTATTAGAGAAGGGGAAAAGGTAGGTGGAGAATATGAAAGTTTCTGTATCTCTAATTATGTATCTGTAAAAGGTAGCAGTAGCTGCTATAAAACATTTAGTATAAAAAGGTGTCTGTAAAAGCACTTTGAAAACCGAAGTTCTGAAAAGCAAGGTACCATTATTAAGTGTGTTAGCACCTAAAATTAGAACAATGAGTATAACTCCTAATGGAAAAGCTAATGCAGAACAGTAAGCATGTACCTCACTTAAAGGTACTACACAGATTAAAACAGCAACAGGAATCACTGCACTCTATGTTGATGTACAGAACACTGACACTAGTACCCAACTGCTAATTATATCCACTTACGTAAAAGTTTATATATATATTATTTTAAAGCCCTAATTTTATAGTGTTTTGCCTCCACAGCTTTTTACAGAGCAAAACTGATTAACCTGAACTTAACTCTTCCTGTTAAAACTCCCAAATGTGAGGATGGAAGGAAAAGAAGAGGTAAATAGCTAATCCCCTAAATTAAGGGGAGAAGAGTATGCACCAGATGACTTTTACTTGCTTATTTCCATATATTAGTCATTATCATTTGAGCCTTACCTATCTTCTTATCATTATCAATAATTTTTCATGCCTAATGTCACAAAAATTTAATAACTATTGGTTGAATAAATGAGATTTTGCTATTACAAGTAGCTCTTTCAATTATACTGCTTTAACAGATGTCCAAAAGGACTGCTTTATGAGCAAGACCAATTTCCCTTTGTTGAATAGTGTTTGCATTTATTATAGAATTTCCAGAATGACGCTCAACTAGCTGCCAGCAGGATCATCTATGAAGCTTTTTCCAAACTAGAAGGATCAGCCAACCTTAGGAGATCATAGCTGCGGCCTGAGCACTGGTAGTTTGAAAAAGCTCCATAAGTGATTCTAATTGAAAGAAGACAGAACCAAGATTTTACGACCAGATAAAAGTAGCAAATTTTACCTGCCTTACCACTTACCACACAAAAGTTGCAAAATGCACAAATAATATATGCCTATATTCTGCAAATGTGACTTTTTAAAAAAAAGGTTTAAACATTCAATGGAGCCATACTACACTGTACACTTGACAAAATTCACCAAAACAATGAGCTCATGAAAGTGCTCTAACACTATTCATAGTGAGGAAAGGACAGAGGAACCACTAAAGGTCAGTTTTAACGGGTAAATGGCATGCAATATCCTCAAGGAGAAAACGGTGTGTATAAATTTGCATGCTGATGATTAACATTTTAGTGCTAACCAGAGTTTACACACAAACTCTGGCTTAAATACATCTAACAGTGAATTTATACTGTCCAATTTGGAAATGGTTGTAATAGATGCTATAGTAATTATAGCCTTATATAAGCATTCAAACCACTGCCCACTGTTTAGAATAATTCTTTATTAAGTTAATAGCAATCAAAATGTAAAGACTAGCATATCACAGCACAATAACAAAAAATGATAAAATATACTTACTAACTGTTCACCTCTATTTTGCCATCCCCAAATAACACCATCCTCTGACACTGGTTGCGCGTAAGAGGGCTTTTCCACTGAAAATGAAGCAATTTCTAAGTCCTGTGGTTTATTTTGTAGATCCTCACTAATTATTTGTTCATCTTCTAATGCATCTTTTGGGACTGGATTAGTCCAGAGATAGCCTATTTGATATCCACCACAACCATTTGCCAGTCTTTCAGAAAATATCTGACTTGCTAACCCTTCAGTCGGGTAATAGGAAAGTTCATTCAAACACTGGGAGTAGAATTCCTCTGGAAAATTCTGTAAATCTACTTTTGAGGGATTTTCAGATATATTAAAAGTACCTTCTGTGAGTGATAAAACATGATTCTCACTACTTGGTACTATTTCATTGCCATCAATTGGGATGACAGGAATTACCTGAGGTATATCATAAGGAGTAGCTGTACATCTGTCCATTTGGGTAGTATCAACACCAACCAAATAGGAATAACCATCAAAAGTGTCACATAGCTGTAGTTTTTCAAAAATCACTTTTGAATTTCCCACAAAATCCCTTTCAGTATTCAAAGTAGATTCTTGAGTGGTGCACATGGCATTTCTTTCTTTGAAATGGTATGCATGTTCATCTGTTCCACATGGAACTAAGCAGTCAGTAACATTAGGATCAATATTGTACTCCTTCAAATTAAATCCCTCTTCCTCTTCTTCACTTGGTAGTGTTGGTGTACTCAATCCTGATACATTGTTACCAAAGGCATCAGAAATTCCTTCAGCTGATTCAGAGTAAATTTGTTTCAGCACTGGATTTTCACCACTGTTAATACACTTACTCTCTTCTACTTCTAACTCCTGTATACCTGAATTTGAGCTTCGGCTTAAAGGTGGTAAAATAGTAAGGTCTTCATGTTTGTAGTCATTCACCCTATAGGTTTCACAATTTTTTTCCATTTGATTTGTTTCATAATCAGAGTTTTTTTTTATTTTAGAACTAACGCAAGTAAATGTAGGTACATTCTGACTGGGCACTTCCTTGCATTTTAGGATAAGTGTTTCCCAGTCAAATACTGTTTTAGAATCTGACCTGACATTTTCTATCTCATTTTTACTTGCCTCTCTATGATCAGCTTCTAATATTTGAGCTTTTAGTGATTCTTTTTCAGTAGCTTCTAATCGGGGAGGGTCACTTAGTTGATTGTGTAACACACTGGATGAATTCTTAACACATATTTCATCTTCTGTTTTATAACTCAGGCCTATTTCACCTTCTTCAACAGCACAAGTGAAAATAAATGCAGAGGAAACAGAGTTACTCATAAAAGATTTGGAATGATCAAGAGACTTGCGATTTGGCAGCATTTCTTGTGAAGTTTTAAGTTTTGGGTTGTTTATTCTTTGGATTATTCCATCTGTGTTTGTTTCACATACCACACAAGCTATATTACAGGTTTGTGCCTGAACCTTATTTGCCCTAGTATCTGCACATGTATCTACTTGACATGAAGATTTCAATTCATTAGCCCTCTTAGCAGGCCCATCATCTTCCAAAATGTTAAATTTACATTTACTTTGATCAGATGAACTATTTTCAGATTGCAAAGATAATTTGCCTTTGTTTGTGAGGTAGAGATTTCCAGTTTCCAAGCCGCTATCATCTAGGTATTGATCACTGTTGATCACTGTTGAACCTATGAGGTGTTTAGGTTCACTGTCCTCATCAAGTAGTTTAGCTGCTGCTTCTCTGAAATTAGAATGAACCAGAAGACATTCATTTTCAAAGCTCACCAAAGTGATATCTTTTTTTAGACTTAAATTAATTCTATCTAGACAGACACTGTCTGCTCTGCTAACATCTAAACTGAAATGATCTTTGTCTTTTAATGGTTTTACAGAGTTATTTTCTCTTTCCTTTTGAGAGTTTAAACTCTCATCTGCACTAACTGTTACAGCCTCACATTCATCATTTCTTTCAACGTATGTAGTGTCATTAAGTAAATTAATAGGTGAATCATTCATTTGATTTACTATATCTGAACTATGGCTCTCTTTCTCTTCTGGGATGGCACACAAACATTTTAATGAGTCACTGCCTGTGTTAATATTTAATTCACATAGTGTGCCAATATTACGTAATGTACAACTTTCTGTGTAATCTTTAGGAAATTCAGTGTCAACTTTTGCCCTTAAAAAATCAGCCTGCATGCTATCATTATTTACTTTATAAGGTGGGTCATTATTGGTCAAGAATTCAGAACTAGATTTCATTTTCTCACTACATAATTCCTTTATTTCATTTGGATCTAGCATGTTCTGTGGTGGCAGTTCTTTCTGGTGTGCCTTTAATTCTCCTGCCCCTTGTAAAGCGTGGGAGACTAAAAATTCTTTCCCATTATCTAGAGGCCATTTCAGTTTGCTAATTCCCTCAGAGATAACAGCTGAATGACATTCTTCTATTGCAGTTGCTCCAAACATGGGAGTGCACATTTCATTTTCAATTTTCAGACAATCAGGATCTATAACATAAATACTAGAAAACTTGCTCTCTCTTGAGTTCTTACATTGCTTATTATCAATACAAATAGGTTTTTCATCTTTCACCTCTGTATCAGACATACCTAAAGAGTTATTCTCATCATTACCGCTGATTTCAACATTTACCATTATGTCTTTCTCTGTTAATAAGTTTTTACAAGTGACTGGATAATAGCACAGATGGTTATTTAAAATAGTTTTTTCCTGTACGCTCTGGTAAGAAGGCACCAGTATACATGAAAGAGACACATGATCTTCAGAATAAAGATCTTCAGATAAGTCCGGTTTACTGTCATTACTCACACGTGGTATATCACAGCCGTTTTCAGAATTCTGCTCACTAGCAGCAAAATCTGAATTCTTGTCACCCTCATCTAAATTTTCATACCTAGTTAAGAACTTATACATTGAAGAGGAAATAAAGTAAAGTGATTGCTTTGATCTATGACCCTGTTTGTGCCCGAATTGCTCAGATATTCTAGTCCACATATTAACACCAGCAGCTGTCCTACTGGCTACATTTTCAACATTGTGAAGCTCCTTAACTTCAAGGGTATCAAATAATGAAGATAAAGTTTTACTTATCTTGTTCTCTGACTTGTTCTCCTCCACAGATTTTTGTAACAGGCCAGTTCTTTCATCCTCATTGTCACTAAATTCTTTGCTGAAGCAACAACCCATGTTCAAAAGTTCAAAAACTCACATTACCCTGCTTGTCGTTTTCAGAGTCTTCAAAAATCCACCTCAAACTAACTTTCTATGGTTTCTGAGGGGAAGCCAACACCCAGATACCAAAAATAACCACTTGCAGAGCAGTCACATGTCACTGCCACTCAAATTCAAAATCCCAATTACAAAAGATCACTGCATAACAACCATATATGCTCCATGTGCTTAAATCAAACAGCACATGGAATCGAAAGACTGCAAACAAAAAAGTGCATATTATTTTTTCTTATTCTCATACGTGCAAAATAAAAAAATTATTATTCCAGTCAGAAGAAAACAACTCAGAATTCTGGCTTTTCATGGTGATTCACTCAACAGTCTTCATTTTCTGCCTTTAAAAAATGTCTATGGGTATTTAAAAAAAAAATTTATTGCTAATTTTATTGAATGTATCAATTAGAAATGCATATTGAAGTATTTACGGGTAAAATGTGAAATGTCTAAGATTTGCTATAAACTACTCCAGCAAATAAATACATACATATATACATACATAAAATATTTTAAAAGTGTGTGTACAGGGAGGAGGAAAAGATGAAATAAGAGTAACAAAATGTGAGGGTGGGAAATTGCTGAAGTTCATGATGGGGTTCATTATTATTCTACTTCCATAGATGTCTGAAAATTCCAATAAAGAAAGAAAAAAAAGAGAGAGAATGGAAAAAAATCTATGCCCACCAGTACAAATACTAGGAAGTCACTCAAAAGCACTTGAAGCATGAATGCACAGCATTTAATCTGTCTGGTGATAACCTTATCGCTCCTACACTATTTAGTCCATGACAGCTGATTCACGGTTATGTGTCTTATTTGAACATTTGTAATGCTTTATTCTTAGTATAAGTGATTGTTTTTCTTATTATGGTTCTGATTCTGATATATTTAAAAAACAAAATAATTCTATTAACTCCTCTGTGAGATATTTTGCTGTTTACTTTAATTCACAAATTATAGCTGGTCTTCTATTAATGTTTTACAAAACATTAATATTTTATGGTGAAATAAGTTTAAGAATTCTACTTAATTAAACATGAAGATAATAGGAACACTTCTGAACGCACTTAAATTCAGGTACTGAAACTAAAGCGAATAATGATGATAACAATTGCAAACATGTTCTATAGTACTCTGAGATATACCTTAAGTAATTTGGCCTTTGTCCTTGGTTCATAAGACAACCTCTGGAAAAAACAGAAGAATAACATTGGGATTTAAGTGTCTTCAATAAGGACTCTAGAACATACCTAATAAGTTAGGTGAGGTGATGAGGTGACTTTGGGGTGGAGGCTAGCCAGGCCAGAAAGACCATTTCATGATATCAGCTGACCTCAGGGGAGAGGAGTTTGGAGTTTGCATTAGGCAACAAGACTCCCAATAAAAGCTCTGGACATTGAAGCTCCATGGGCTTCCCGGTTAGTGAAAGACATTCATAAATGTGAGAGGGTAGTGCATCCCTTTTTAGGACATGGAAGCTTCACACTTGGAACCCTCCCAGACCTCACCCTATGTGTCTCTTGTTTGGTGTCAGACTGAACAGAGAAGTGGAAAAGTGAGGATTTGGATTTTGGATTTAATTGATGCTTATTATTATACTCGCAAGCACAAAATTTTAAGTACATAAATATTTTAATTACTTTACACATATTAATTCACACTCCCAACAATCCTTGAGGTAGACTGTAGATACTATTAACCCCATTTTCCAGATAAGGAAAATGAAGCACTGAAAGATTAAGTAACTAGCTGGGGATGACACAACTAAACTCAGGCAGTATAGTGCTAGACTTGACCACAGTGTTATATTGCTCCCTGTATCACTAGAAAAGAATTAAATATCTTTATAACAAAAATGTTCTTCACTCAGGACACAAACTATTCACATGTGCTGTACAGCTAAATGGAACAGTGGTAAAGGAAGAAGGTTTAGAAGCTTTTGTGCCTGTATTTGAATTCCAGTTCCTTTTTACTACATATGTGAGCTTTGGCAAATTATTAAACTTCTCTTTGCCTCAGCTTTTTCATTTATAAAATGGGGCCAAGACCAATGCTAAATTCAAAAAGTTGCTGTGAGGATTATAAGTAAAGCACTTAGAACTGAAACCCCAAATCACATTAAACTGATAATCTAACCCCAACTGACCTACTCCAATATTCTCTCATTCTAAAATCCCATCCTCCCCACCTCCTCTACTTCATTCCCCCCAAAAAGCAATTAACTAGCACCTGGCATGCCCTATCTTTGCTCAAACTTCCTCTAATCTCCTCTCTCCCCTTCTCAATGTTACCATCCTTGTTCATAAGGCCACCTCTCTCAATTTTGTTGTTGTTAGGTGTCGTCTAGTCGGTAACAACTCACAGAGACCCTATGTACAAAAGAACAAAACACTGCCCGGTCCTGTGCCATTCTCACAGTTGTTATGCTTGAGCCCATTGTTGCAGCCACCATGTCAGTCCATCTTATTGAGGGTCTTTCTCTTTTTCGTTGACCCTCCATGTGACCAAGCATGATGTCCTTCTTCAGGGACTTGTCCTTCCTGATAATATGTCCAAAGTACGTGGGTTTAAGATGTGTCATTCTTGCTTCTAGGGAGTATTCTGGCTATACTTCTTCCAAGACAGATTTATTCATTTTTCTGTATTCAGTATTTTCTGCAAACACCATAATTCAAAGGCATCAATTCTTCTTCAGTCTTCCTTATTCATTGTCCAGCTTTCGTATGCATATGAGGTGACTGAAAATACCATGGCTTGGGTCAGGTGTACCTTAGTCTCCAAAGTGACATCTTTGCTTTTTAACACTTCAAAGAGATCTTCTGTAGCAGATTTGCCCAATACAATACCTAGTTTGATTTCCTGACCACTGTTTCCATGGGTATTGACTGTGGATCCAAGAACAACGAAATCCTTGACAATTTCAATCTTTATCTCCCTTTATCATGATGCTGCTTATTGGTTGAGTTGTGAAGATTTTTGTTTTCTTTATGTTGAGGCAGGTAATCTATACTGAAGGCTGTGGTCTTTGATTTTCATCAGTAAGTGCTTCAAGTCTTCATCACATTCAGCAAGCAAGGTTGTGTCATCTGCATATCGTAGGTTGTTAATGAGTCTTCCTCTAATCCTGATGCTGCATTCTTCTTCATAGAGTCCAGCTTCTCAGATTATTTGCTCAGCATACAGACTGAATAAGTATGGTGAAAAGATACAACCCTGACATACACCTTCCCTGACTTTAAACCATGCAGTATCCCCTTGTTCTGTTCTTGGTCCATGCACAGGTTCTGCATGAGCACAATTAAGTGTTCTGGAATTTCGATTCTTCACAATGTTATCTATTAAGTTGTTAGGATCCACACAGTCGAATGCTTTGCACAGTCAATAAAACACAGGTAAACATGTTTCTGATAGTCTCTGCTTTCAGCCAAGATCCATCTGACATCAGTAATAATATCCCTTGTTCCATGTCCTCTTCTGAATCCAGCTTGAATTTCTAGCACTGATACTAATGATATTGTTCGACAATTTCTGCATTTGGTTGGATCACCTTTCTTTGGAATGTGCATGATGGATCTCTTCCAGTCAGCTGACCAGGTAGCTGTCTTCCAAATTTCTTGGGATAGACGAGTGTGCACTTCCAATGCTGCATCCGTTTGCTAAAACATCTCAATTAGTATTCTGTCAATTCCAAAAGCCTTCTTTTGGGCCAAAGTCTTCAGTGCAGCTTGGACTTCTTCCTTCAGTACCATCGGTTCTTGATCATATGCTACTTCCTGAAATGACTGAATGTTGACCAATTCTTTTTGGTACAGTGACTCTGTGTATTCCATCTTCTTTTGATGCTTCTTTTGATGTTCAGTACTTTGCCCACAGAATCCTTCAATCTTGCAACTTGAGGATTGAATTTTTTCTCTAGCTCTTTCAGCTTCAGAAATGCCGAGTGTGTCCTTCCCTTTTGGTTTTCTAACTCCGGGTCTTCGCACATTTCGTTATAATACTTTACTTTGTCTTCTTGAGCTGCCCTTCTTAATCTTCTGTTCAACTTCTTTTTCATCATTTGTTCATACACTTTAGCTACTTGATGTTCAACAGCAAGTTTCAGAGTCTCTTCTGACATTCATTTTGGTCTTTTCTTTCTTTTCTGTCTTTTTAATGACTTTCGCTTTCTTCATGTATGATGCCCCTGATGTCATTCCACAGCTCGTCTGATCTTTGGTCATCAGTGTTCAGTGCATCAAATCTATTCTTGAGATGGTCTCCAAATTCTGGTGGGATATATTCAAGGTTGTACTTTGGCTCATGTGAACTTGTTCTAATTTTCTTCAGCTTCAGTTTGAACTTGCATATGAGCAACTGACAGCCTGTTCTGTAGTTGTCCCCCGCCTTGTTCTGACTGATGATACTGAGCCTTTCTACAGATGTAGTCGATTTGATTCGTGTGTCTTCTATCTGCTGAGGTCTGAGTGTGCAGTTGCCGTTTATGTTGTTGAGAAAGGTATTTGCAATGAATAGATTGTTGGTGTTGCAAAATTCTATCATCTGATCTCTGGGGTCATTTCTATCACCGAGGCCATATTTTCCAACTACAGATCCTTCTTTGTTTCTAACTTTTTCATTCCAATCACCAGTTATTATCAATACATCTTGACTGCATGTTTGATCAATTTTAGACTGCAGATGTTGGTAAAAATCTTCAGTTTCCTCATCTTTGGCATTAGTGGTTGGTGCGTAAATTTGAGTAACAGTTGTATTAACTGGTCTTCCTTGTAGGTGTATGGGTATTATCTTATTGTTGACAGCGTTATACTTCAAAACAGATCTTGAAATGTTCTTTTTGATGATGAATTCAACATCATTCTTCTTTGTCATTCTCAACATAGTAGATCATATGATTGTCCGATTCCAGAAAGATATTTACCTGTATTTTATTGACTATGCAAAGGCATTCAACTCTGTGGATCATAACAAATTATGGATAACGTGGTGAAGAATGGGAATTCCAGAATACTTACTTGTGCTCATGAGGAACCTGTACATAGATCAAGAGGCAATCGTTTGAACAGAACAAGGGGATAGTGCGTGGTTTAAAGTCAGGAAGGGTATGTATCAAGGTTGTATCCTTCCACTATACTTATTCAATCTGTATGCTGGGCAAATAATCTGAGAAGGTGGACTATATGAAGAAGAATGCAGCATCAGCGTTGGAGGAAGACTCATTAACAACCTGTGTTATGCAGGTGACACAACCTTGCTTGCTGAAAATGAAGAGGACTTGAGGTACTTACTGATGAAGACCAAAGACTACAGTCTTCAGTATGGATTTCACTTTAACGTAAAGAAAACAAAAATCCTCACAACTCAACCAATAAGCAACATCATGATAAATGGAGAAAAGATTGACACTGTCAAGCGTTTCATTTTACTTAGATCCACAACCAACACCCATGGAAGCAGCAGTCACGAAATCAAATGACACACTGCACTGGGCAAATCTGCTGCAAAAGACTTCCCTCCCTACATTGTTAAAAAGCAAAGATATCACTTTAAGGAATGGGGTAAGCCTGACCCAGGCCATGGTGTTTTCAACTGCCTCACGTGCATGTGAAAGTTGGACAATGAATAAGGAAGATCAAAGAAGAATTAATGCTTTGAATTATGGTGTTGGCGAAGAATATTGGCTATACCATGGATTGCCAAAAGAATAAACAAATCTGTCTTGGAAGAAGTACAGCCAGAATGCTCCTTAGAAGCGAAAATGGTGAGACTTCATCTCACATACTTTGGACAAGTTATCAGGAGGGACCAGTCCCTGGAGGACATCATGCTTGGTAAAGTAGAGGGTCAGCAAAAAAGAGGATAACCCTCAATGAAGTGGACTGACACAGTGGCTGCAACAATGGGCTCAAGCATAACAATAATCATGAGGATGGCGCAGGACCAGGCAGTGTTTAGCTATGAGTGAGAACCAACTCGATGGTTCCTAACAACAACAACATCCATATGCTTGACTATTCTCTCAGTAGAATTATACTGGTAGTGCCACACGAAGTTGATTTTTGAAGTAGCTGTTGCATAAAAGGTCTTAATAGAAAGTAAACTGAAGATATAGTCCTGGCTTGCAGAAAACTGCTTGTGTCATATTGCAGAAGATACAAATAACAAGTAGTACAAATACCAATTTTCTAAA